GTCTTCCTCTTTCCCTTAAATTTCTGGAATTCTCTTAAATTTTATATTCTTCCTTTTTTCTCAGCCTAACTTGCCCTGTTGCCTCTCTCTAAACTCCTGCAGAGGCCACCTATCTTGTTACAGTGAACAACAAAGGTCATTTTCATGTTCCCTCCCTCATTGCTATTGAGTCAGAACTGACTCATTGCTGACCCTCCACTAAATTTCTGATGTTCTAAGTAGCAGGCGGAGGAGATTGTCCACCTCTTCCTACAGGGCAGTTGCCTTTTTATTAGCTTCACTTCATAATTCTCCATTCTTTTTTTTTTTTTTTTTTTATAATTCTCCATTCTTAAATGGATGTGCTTATCATTGACAGAGAAAAAAAAATTGCTGCTAACCAACGTTAAAATGCAAAAGCAGTCTTGATGGTCCAGAGGACCCAGTCAGGTTGCCACTTAGTACAAGAAAGATGCTTTGATATTTTCTGAAGCATGAGTTAAATCCCTTGGTGACAAAAATATTATTGTAGAGGAAGAAGGAGAGTTAGGAACAGTAGGGACACTGTAATGTGTGTCCAGCTGCCTCCATAAACAACTGTTCGCTTTACCATGAGACCAGAAAAACTGGATGGTGCCCAGCTTCCATAACTGAACATTTTGATCAAAGATTCCATAGAAGGGTCTCAATCTTCAAAATTTTCGTAGACCCTAGACTTTCCAGAGCCACGCAGGGTAAACCTTCAACAATAACAACAAAACAAAACAAAACAAAAAATCCCCTGAAGTTATCTTAAAACTGAGTAACAGATTCCTTCAACTAGTAAAGAAAGGTGTATGTTGGTATGATTACCAGCTCTCTTAAGAACTATCTAAATGGGATCAGGCTGACATTAGCAACTAAAAAAACAGAAACATCAGAAGACTGAGTTTTTGTTAATGACAGAGGAACATTTCATGTGGGGAAAAAGAGTAAAAATGGCTTTGGAACCAAAAGAATGTGACCAATCTCACTAAATCATACATATACAAACTGCTGAACTGGTGACATATGTTTGGTTAAGTATATTCTCAACAGCTACAATTTTAATTCAGCTCAGCTCTTTGCCATCGAGTCAGAACTGACTCACAGTAGAGCCTCGGTGCTTTGTGGAGGTTGTAAATTGCAGGGTAGGAGCCTGCCCACCCTTCCCTGGCAGAGCTGCCAGCAGATTTGAACTGCCAGAGAGGTACTGCCTCGGGTTAATGTGCGACTTTCTATGGACGATGCCACCTGAGTTCCCCCAACCAAGTTTAGGGGGGAAATTACTGTTGTTCTAAGCTGCTGAGGTGGCCTCCAATCCAACAACAACACAATTCACAATGACATAAAACACTGACAGGTCCAGAGCCACCTCTATGATCAGCTGTCGACAAGACTGCTGTGATCCCAGGGTCTTCTCGTGTGATTTTCAGAAGTAGACTGTCTGCCATCTTGGCCTGTATTGGGCTAGAAGCTCTGCTCAAATGTGTTCCAGATCACAGCCACATGCAAATCTCCACTGACAGGTGGGTGATAACTACACACCAGGTGCGCTGGCCAGGGATTAGACCCGGGTCCTCCACATACAAGGCCAAATTCAACCACGGACCCACCAATACCCCATCTCTGCATTGTAGATACTGATAAAAATTAATTTCAACTGCAACCACCTCTACTAAATGATGAGAAAAATATTTCAGTGTCCTGCTAGCCATGTGAAAACCTCAAAACTCATTGTTGTCAGGTTGAAATGAACTCACACAGCTGGCCCTCCAATGAGTTTCCAGAGACTGTAAAGCACGCAGGAGGAATTGTCCATCCATCTCCCTGGGTGCTCCCAGTAGATTTAAACCACTGGAGAGGCATGGTCTTGGGGTTAGCTGGGCAACTCCCTACAAACTACGCCAGCACAGCTCCCTTTCGCATTAAAGAAATCAGGCAAATTATTAGCCCTTCTAAGTCTCTCGGAGGAGTTGTGAATATTATATGTCAAAGCAAGCAAAAGCCCTTCTACATATACTTTGTTTATTACGAGAGGCCAATAAATGTGAGCAACTGTTGCAAATATAAAGGAGCTCTCAAAACTTGCAATTCCCTTGGTCAGGAAAGCTCTATTAAATTGTGTTCTTATGGGTGGCTGGCTGGGATCTAAAGGCTGACAAAGATTAAATAAGCCATATCCAGGAAGCATAGTACAAATGACTAAAATCTTCACCAGAAGCTGAAAGGTTAGTGGTTCGAACCTACCCAGACGTGCCTAGGAAGACAGGCCTGAAGATCAATCTATTTCTGGAAGGCCACAGTCTTAAAAATCCTTTGGAATAATTCCACTCTGCACATATAGGTTCATCCTGAGTTGAAATCAACTTAACAGCGGCTAACAACAGAAGCACTAAATGTCACACAGAAATATACTCCCTGAATAACTCCACTCTGCACACATGGGGTCATCCTGAGCGGAAATCAACTCAACAGCAACAACAACAGATGACAATTAAGTCCACACATAAATTTATTGATTCTCAGATAATGGGGTAAGGTAGAATGGAAGTTCTGCAGTGATACTAAAATTCTGTTGAGATTCCTTATTTTACCACAAGATTTGGAATAAGCTTTTCCTATTAGCCTGAGAGGAAGAACTCTGGCACGAGCATGGTACAGCAGGAGTACTGAACTGAAAAGTCTGGGATTCTGCAGATTTTCCACGATAATGCTATCAGGTAGAACAAAACTCATGTCTTTATGCTTTATGAAGAGTTCTGTGTTATGTAAAGAAGAACTTCCTAACAGGAAGAGGCATCCAGTGGTGATTTGGTATACAAAGACCTATGGATGAGCTGGCTGAGGTCTTGGTGTCTAGAGGCCTTTCTCACTTGGGCTGGAGAGTCTCTTAGTGGACAGATGAAGGAAACTCCATATCCCCTGGTGGCTGGGTCGGGTGTTCCTCACAATCACTCTTACACCAATGCTCAATGGTTCTATGTTGAAATGGTAATAGTTATGTGTCAAAATAACATAATGTGAAGATTCAGTGTAATTTTTTTTCCCCAAGGTGGTATATATAAGGGTATACATACACACACAAGGTATATATATATATATATAGTTGTTGTTATGTGCCGTCGAGTCATTTGAGACTCATAGAGAACCTGTGTACAACAGCCCTAAACCCTGCTCTATCCTGTGCCAATCGTATTTCCTCTGACACATCCATATATATATATAGTGTGTGTATATATATGTGTGTGTATGTGCGTGTGCACGCATGTGTGTGTATATATATATACATGATGTATATATATGTTATATACATACAAGCAGTATCTACAAGGGTATATATAAGGGGGAACACACACACACAGACAGAGGTATAAACAGCACAGATCATACAAACATGACTCAAATCTTTGATCCATAAATTGCAGGTTTGCTTAAGTTATGCAATCTCAGATATTCACACTTGCTAATCTAGAAGATGAGGATAGTAACATCTGCTGCTAATGTTTATCATAATCATATATAGCAAAGGGCTCTTAGAAAGCCTTCAGTAAATCCTGGATTCCCAGAAGTAAACTGCAAAGATTATTCTCAAGGGGAGGGAAAAAAAGACTTTGCACCCTTTAGATAGAAAAAGAAGACAGCTGACAGGAAGTTGGGAAAGAAAACAGGAAGCTACAGGGGGTCCAGTATTATCATCTGTAGGGAGCCACACTGCTGACTCAAAGGCAGTGCCTCTCTGGCAGTTCACATCCACCAGCAGCTCCGTGGGAGAAAGATGGGCAGTTTCTTCCAGTGCAATCCACAGCCTGGAAACCCCATGGAGGGTCAACTATAAGTCCGTTCTGACTTGAAAGCAGTAAGTTTATAAGGAATAGAAAATGTCTAGGATGATTGCACTGACCTTTAGCCAACAATTCTACTTTTGACTCTTAAGAGCTACTAAATTAGAAAATGATATCACCACCAATAATCTGAAATGGCACAACAGCTCTAAATTAGCATGCTGTTACAGCCTGATTACTTGTGCTGCTACGGGGTAGAAAAGGCACTTCACCCCCATGGTTGTAAGGACAATGAACAGCAGGTCTTTTTTTCACCTTTGTCCTTATCTGGACTCTCCTTGCAAAGAGCATTTAACTGCACCCGTTTCTAAGGATGCTTAGCATAAGCAACACAGAGAAGGCTTGATTACTGTTGGTAAATTCCTGTGTACTTGGAGAGTTACCTCACAGTTCTCCTTCACATTCACATTTGGCTTATAAAATGTTTGATGACTGAGCAGGAAAAAAATGGAGAAGAAAAAAAAGAAAACTCATTTGCATCTAGGTTTTGCACTTTTTTTTTTTTTAAATGGAGTCAAAGTCATTGCCATTGAGTTGAACTGGCACAGCCGACTCTCCGGTGGGGTTTCTGAGGCTATGAATCCTATTGGAGGAGTGGCCATCTCTCCCCTTGGGAGCAGCTGGTAGAGTCAAACTGCAGGAGGGGCGTGGCCTCTGGAAAAGCAGCGCAGCTCTACACACAGAGCTCCCTCAGCACAGGCTCATATACTTAACCGCGAGTCTTACTTAGTCTTGGTGATCCTCGGGCCATGCTGAGTGAAAAGAGATCAGTGTGGATTTTGACATCCACTATGGAGAATGTATGATGAAGATAAGCCAGAATTTGAGCATTACTTTTAATCTATATAAAAAGAAATGAAAATAGATCTGAGGCATGTTTGAATAAAATGTAATAACTGAACTAACTGTTATTTCCTTGTATTTTGTAAAATGAAACAGAAGTGGCTACAAAATATGGCTTTAAAATATGGCCCTTTTAAAGAAAATATTCAGCCCTTGCATAAATTTTTGGGGAAAAGAAAAAGGACTAAAAAATTCTGAAGCAAAGTGACATGAACATCTACAAACAGGTTTGACATGGCTTAACAGAATCCAGGGCATTATTCATGATCGATTTGTTAAGATCTTATTTGCATAAAAATACTTCTTAAAATTCACCTGCCAGAAGTCAGCCACAGTAGCTGGAAGCGGTCCTTGAGTTGCTATATAAGCAGGATTCCTGGGGTCATGATCCATCTGCAGGAGAAAAGATGACAGTAATAAAGGTTAGTTAAAAATATTAGAAATCTAAAGAAGAGAAACATAGGTGGAGGAGGAACTGATGAAGGCGCACATCACATTAGACTCTCCAGCACCATGGATCTCCATTGAGTTGACCTGCATCATGGTGATCCCATGTGGGCTAGAGAACTGTGCTCCAGGGGGTCTCCAGTGGCTAGTTTTTGGAGGTAGATCCCAGGTCTTTCTCCTGAGGTACCTCTGGGTGAATTGGAACCACTAACCTCTCAGTTAGCAGCCAAATGCTTTAACTGGATGCACCACAAAGGTACATATTAACATATTCATCTGCAGAAATGGGGTGACAGGGGGAGAAAAACAAAACAAAGAAAACCAAACCAAACTAAAATGCACCTTCCACTGTGATTCCAAAGAGCACCCGAGGCTGACACCCAGCATTGGTAGTTCTATGGGCTCAGCTTGGACAAGCACATCTGAAATGCTTTTCTTATATGAAAATGGAGGTTATAAGGGCAACCCTAACAGAAAGGAGGACTGGAAGCCCACCTAAGCCAGACGCCAACAAGTTAATCCACTAACATAAATACCAGAAGTGTCTGGACATCTGACCATTCCGAAGGATGGTGGCTGAAGGATGGTGGGGAGAGTAGGTCCAGTGAAGCTTGCTAGTCTCCCCCTGGCATCCCAATGCAGGAAATGTTGACAAGTATGCAAATGATTTCACAGCAATTTAGTTTGTGTTCTCGGTGTAAATGACTCCCATTTCCACCAAAGGCTGTACATGGTGTTCAGAATAATGAGCCCATTTGAAATGTCACTGGTGCTGGGCTGGAAGAGGTTAAGCTTAAGCTCTTACCAGAGAGGAAGGACACCCTTCATTTATTTACCATTGCTAAATTTCTCAGTGTCCTGGAACAATTCATTAACTACTGGTATCCTCCTGCCCAGAAAGAGTTAATTCCTCTACCAGGACAGCTTGGGGGCTTTCAAAAGCCCAGTCTTGGTCTGGCCCTAAGCTGTGAGAGCCCACAGCAAAGCAAGCACTCACAAGTGGTGGGATCCCACCTTCAAGTCACTAATTTCCTGTTCTTTTTCTACCATGTCCAAAACAAGCTACAAACAAACAAGAATGTCCTTGTGGTGTGTATGGTTATACTGATTTACCCAAACGCTTCTTGTTTGCTTCAATAAAGAAGTCTGGTTAAAAGACCTTAACTATAGTATTTTATTCAAAGACTGACTAAACAGAAAAAAAAGGGAACCTGTGTAACAAAGCCTCAAGAAGATAACAGGATTCAAGCACAATGCTGGAGGAGTGTGAAGGACAGGGTTCAGACCTGTTCCCTAAGTGCCAAGCCTTGTTCATTCTGAAGTAAACAGGGATATAATAGCGCTTGAAGTCAGCTAAGACTTCTTCAACACTATAATTCCAAAATTACTGGACATCTCTTTCTCATGTACCCTAAAGGGATAACAGGAACCAGCTCCAGAAGGTACCCTGGCTGATGTTATGGTCGTTGATATGTACCACTGAGTCAGAACTGAATCATAGCTGATCTTCCAACAGGTTTTCAGTGGCTGTAAATCACACTGGAGAAGACTGTTTCTTTTTCCCCCTTGGAGCAGCTGGTGGGTTTGAACTATATACCTTTGGGTTGGCAGTGCAACTCTTTACCAGTAAGCCATCAGACTGATAGTAAATACACGTGGACCCTCCTTCTTCACAAGATGGTATTTATTTACTAGACTTACACAGTCTTTTATTTTTTTCACATCTAATACAAGAATGCATTCTTTTGATATCAACTCTTGCTTAAAGGATTTAAAAGATTCTGTATCTAAAGATAATTACTAAGAAGGCATTTCTCACTACAGTGAAAAATGGGAATGCTTCAACCATATGCAATTCTGAACCGCCATGTGAAGGGCTCCAGTTGTACATTTCCATGTCACCTTTAAACGCTGCCTAGCATCTACGTCTGAAGAGGCATCAATGTGTTTTCTTTAATAGTAATCTCGAAAATCTATGCATCGCCGATCAACACTCCACGATGATGGTTGTCAGCATAAAAGAATGCACCAAATGCACCTTATAATTATGTGCACCATGAAAGAGGGGAAAAGCATAAAAGAACAGATGTAAGTTATTCTAACAGAGCAACAATATGATGTGAGCTGGGGGCGGGGAGCAAGAGAATGCTTTCCCCAGGCATCTAATTCTGTGATTCAGAATTAAAACTGGACCTCGTTCTGAAATTTACCACAACACATACAATACAGGTAAAATTGTATTACTCTCACTGAAAGCCCCAATTAAAATGTTTCAGTAGAAGAACGCTTAGCAGAAATAAGGAGTTTTGATTTTTTAAAATATGCGCTTGTTGGGGGTGATAGCTATTTACTGAGACCCCTGCCTCTTCCCTGCTAACAGTTATGCATAAAAATTAAGGCTCCACCTTCTTTCCAAACATGTGTGGGTTGAGTTTTTTTATTTTATTTTTTTTCTCCCCAAAGCAATTTAGAGAGCAACACATTTTTAAATTGTGAGAATGCTTAAACTAGCCCATTTAGTTGCTTTTGAAAAGAAAATGATGTGATTTAAAGTACAATTCTGGACAAGGTTTAAGAAGATATATAGTAGATGCCACTGTTATGCACTATCAGGTGGGAACTGACTCAGAGGTGGTCCTGCAGCAAGTTTTCAGAGGCTGTCAACAGCATGGGAGGAGACTGCCCACCTTCCTCTACTGGGACAACTGGTGGACCTGAACCTATGCTTCTGGTTGGCAGCACAAGGCCTTCCCATGATGCTACCAGAGCTCTGAAGAAGACATATAAGGCAACGTCTAGGAAAGTTTTTAACTGTTATGGTATTTGAAAAGGCCCATCCAAGCGCCAAGACAGAAACCAAAAGTTGTTGATTCTCTGAGGAAGAGGACACAACACAGAATACCTGCACCAACTCAACTCGTCCCCAGGGGCCTCTGCCTCCCCTCCTCCCCCTGCTGCTCCCCTGCTGTCACAGAACAGCTACTGGGAACTGGGGGCTATTACAAGGATGGCAGAGAGGGAGGAAGTGTCACCAATTTAACAATAATTCAGACGACGGTGACAAGCACTGAATTCCTTGCACGTTTGGTTGAACAGACAGTAATTATGGGCACAAGCACTTCTTGCTTGTAGCAAACATACAGCATCGGGAAGCTTTATCATGATTTCGTGCAGTCTATAAGTGAACAGAAGGAAAGCAAATATTTAACTAAATGAACAGAGGTTTTATTAAATTTAAGATCCCCATGGAAGGAGAAGTGCAGTGAGAGGAAATCAAGGCAAGTTTCCCATAAAGGCGTTAGAATGATAATTTCAGCATGGCATGTGCGTGTCTTTGTGTCTTGTCCCTAAACCAACTTGAAATCAAAACTCACAGCCACTGAGTCAGATCCAACCCAGTGACCCTCCCTCAGATTTCTGAGGCTGCTAATCATAGCAGCAAGAGGGCACCCAGCTTTCTCCTGCTGAGCAGCTCATGGATTAGAACCTCTGGAGACGTGGCCTTTGGGTCAGCAGTGCTACACGTGACAGACCATGCCACCAAGGTGTCCTTGCAGCCAAATGTTTTTATCAACTCCTGGTGGGTCCACGAGTATCAGAGGGTTTTCAGTGGCTGACTATTCAGAAATTGCTCTGCAGGCCTTTCTTCTGGGCATTTCTGAGTGGACTTGAATCACCTAACCTTCAGTCAGCAGCCGAGCAGACTGCTTCCAGCTTCCTGTCACCCTTGTGCTTGAGTTTCCCCACCTTCTCTCTCATTTTCCCAGTGGAGTACACTTTTTATAAGGGAGACCTAGCAGTGTAATGTGGAGAGAGTTGTGCTGCCAACTCAGTGGTGGCGGTGGCAATGGTGATGGTTGTTAAGTGCCGTCACGTTGCCCATGGCTCATAATGGCCCTAAGTACAACAGCTCTGAAGCCGGTCCTGTCCTGAGCCAGTCTGACTCTAACACACCTACCCCATTACCCCAGCTCCTGTATCAATCCATCTCATCCGGGGTCTTCCTCTCCTGCATTGTTCCTCCACCCTTCCAAGAATGATGTCCTTCTCCAAGGATTGATCCCTCCTGGCCAAGTGCCCAAAGTATGTGAGATGGAGCTTCAAAATACTAGACTTCAAGGAGAAACTTGGTTTCACCCTCTCTAAGACAGACCTATTTGCTTTCTTGGGGAAGTTAATGCTATGTCAAAGACTTTTCTCCAACACTACAACTCAAAGGCATCAAGTCTTCTATCCTCCTTAGTCATTATCCAGCTCTCTGATGCATAGCAAGTAACTGAGAAGACCATGGACTGGATAATGCACATCTTAGTCTCTAGACTGATGCTGTTGCTTCTCAGTACTCTGGAAAGGTCCCTGACAGCAGATTTACCTAATGTGATTTGCCTTTTGATTTTCTTACTGTGGGTGCCAAAAGTGTTGATTGAGGAGCCAAGAAAGCTTTAACAATCTCAATCTCTTCTCCAACCATCATGGTGCTGCCAATGCGCCCAGTGGTGAGAATATTTGTCTTCTTGAAGATGAACTTCAATTCTTATTGAAGACTAAAGTCCTTGATCTTCTGCAGCATGTGCTTCAGGTCTCCCTTAGTTTCAGCAAGCAAGGTTGTGTCATCTTCATAACATAGGTTGTCAATGAGTCTTCCTCCAATCCTGATGCCACATTCCTCCTCATAAAGCCCAGTCTCCTGAATGATCTGTTATGCATATAGATTGAAAAGGTGTGGAGAAAGGACGTATCCTTGATGCAGTCCCCTCCTGATTTTGAACCATACTGTGTTTCCTTGCTCTGCTCTGAGGACTGCCTCCTGGTTCAAGTATAGGTTTTGCCTAAATACAATCAAGTGTTCTGGAAGTCCCATTTTCCTCAAGTTTAGCCACTCTTTGCTGTGATCTACACAGCCAAATGACTTTTCATAGGCAATGAAACATGGATAGATAACCCTC